TCCATAGGACAGATGGAATTGGTCATGCCTTAATCTCAGAACCATTGACGTGAGGACAACGTACCTCTTTTAAGATACTCTGAATGTTGTTGTAGTTGTCCATCCGGGATGTCAGAACTAGAAGAGAGCAGAGATTGTTAGCCTCGTGGCTGTAGCATACCTGGTAAACTGTGAAAAGGTGGTAGAAGGGTACATGCTAGCTTCATGCTCCTAGGACGAGGAGGCCTTCAAATGTGTTTTCCTATCTGGTGACAGATCGGTGGCCCTGTCCTGACAAAGGTCACTTCTATCTCACCCTGCATAGGTTAAGAGGCCCAGTTTTAATGGATACGTCCAGAAGAACAGATGGCCATTATGAACTGAATAAAAAGGTGCCTGATGGCCAGGTCAGGGTGATTCATTGAGGCATATTCTTTGTTATTACCTGTGGCTCATTTGATTTGTAAACTGCTGTAATCTGCCTGGTATTCATCTTAAATGTCTCAACTCCTCAAAAATGTATCCGCAGTGCACTATAATCCAGAGGTGGATTATTTTAGAAGAAAAACAAAAACATGCGCTTGAAGATGATAACGTTTGGCTTTAGATCCCAAAGACACACGCTCCTGGTATGAACCATGATTAGTAGGCACTGTCCAGTCAGGGCTCACTCTCAGTGACCCTGTGCACAGCCTTGGCTGCTGTGTGTGAACTTTCTTGGAGCTCCTGCATCAGTCCTGCTCATCCAGGATATCCTCTGGTTGGCTAACCCTCTGATGTACTAAACATGATACCCTTCTTCCCTCCCTCCTCCTGGTTCTTGACCATATGCTACCTCCTGAAGTAGGGGGATGTCAAAAAATGCTGATAGGCAAAGTGGCTCGGTGTCTTCCTCTCAGATTCTTCTCATGTTGTTCAACATTTTACCCATAAAAAACTTCATTCTAACAACTCGTGGGTTGAATTTTTTTCTTCCATTCTCTCAGCTGGAGAAATGCCAATCGTATTCTTTCCTTTGGGTTTCTAGCACCAGTTCTTTGCACGGTAATGCTACCTTCTCAACCCACCGTTGGAAATCTGTTCAGTTCCTTAACCTCACCACTTAGGTTCAGTTTAGCTGCTATACATTCAAGAGCTAGTTTCAAAATATCTTCTGACATCCATTTTGACCATTTCTTGATTTTATTTTTTAGTGATCATTTTATTTTTGCTTACTTCATGCTTGATTTTCTTGATGTCCTTCCTCAATGGGCCTCCACTTTAGTCTTTAGTGTTCCATGTGTCAATTTTATTTTATTATTATTATTTTAAATCATTTGATTAGGGGATCATACAACTCTTATCACAATCCATACATACATCAATTGTGTAAAGCACACTTGTACATTCATTGCTCTCACCATTCTCAAAACATTGCTCTCCACCTAAGCCCATGGCATCAGCTCCTGATTTTCCCCTTCCCTCGCCGGTCCCTCCTCCCTCATGAATCCTTGATAATTTATAAATTTTTATTTTGTCATATCTTGCCCTGTCCGACGTCTCCCTTCACACACTTTTCTGTTTTCCATCCCCCAGGGAGGACGTCACATGTAGATCCTTGTAATCGGTTCCGCCTTTCCAACCCACCCTCCCTCCACCCTCCCAGTATCACCACTCACACCACTGGTCCTGAAGGGATCATCCACCCTGGATTCCATGCGTTTCCAGTTCTTATCTGTACCAGTGTACATCCTCTGGTCTAGCCAGACTTGCAAGATAGAATTGGGATCATGATAGTGGGGAGGAGGAAGCATTTAGGAACTAAGGGAAAGTTGTATGTTGCATCGTTGCTACATCACATCCTGACTGGCTCGTCTCCTCCCCCATGTGTCGATTTTAGTCTTGAAATGGTCTCTACATTCAGGTGGGGCACCCTCAAGGGTATTTTGGGGCACTCGTTTTTATTTTCTTGAATTTGTTTTCATTTTCTTCAATTTCAAGACTTGAATGTGCATACGAGCAACTGATCATCTGTTCTGCAGCCAACTTCTGGCCTCTTCTGATGGTTGATCCTGAGTTTCCACAAATGTATTTGACTTGATTCTTAGGCATTCCATCCATCTAGGTCCTTGTGTGTAGTCGCCATTCTATTGTTGAAAAGAGATATTTTTAAGGAATAAATCATTGAACTTACAAAATTCTATTGTGCATTATCCAGCATTGTTCCTATTAGCAAGGCCATATTTTCTAAATACTTTTGTTTACAGTTTTTTTTATTCCTGATGCTGATTCTTAACAGTACACTTTGATTGCACGTTTGATCAATTTTAGACTGGAAAACTTGGTAAAAATCTTCAATGTTTTTCATCTTTGCCAGTAGTGTCTAGTACCTGAATTAGAATAATCATCGCGTTAAGTGGACTTCCCAAAAGGTGTGTTGTATTATCCTTTTATTGGCTGTGTTATACTTCAGAATAGATCTTAAAGAATTCTTGATAATCAATATGATTCGTCTTCAATTTATTATTCCCAATATTGTAGACCATGTGCTTGTCTTATGAACAGTAGCCAATACCACTACACTTCCATTCTCTGATGCCTAGGATATCAATCTCAAGTGTTCTTTTGTTTTTCACAAATTCCAATTTTCCAAGATTCATATTTCACCCATTCTATGTTCCAGTTTGTAATGCATAGTTTCAGTGATTGCGTCGCACTGTGAGTGGTGCTTTACCAAAACAAGGCTATTTCACATCCATGCCTCCGTTTCCATAAAATGGATAAGCATTTTAGACATGAGGGACTTTCAAGGATTAAAAAATGAAAATTAGATAAAGTTAGAAAGCAATCATGACTGTGTTGGGTAGCCACACTATCCTTAGTGATTACAATTCTCTCCTTCCTCCTTAGTGTCTGTGGGCAAGCATTTAGCAGCTGCACAGAGATCTCTGTGAGGTGGGCACATCAGTCCTTGTACATGGCTCACTGCCTCTCATTTCAGGTTCATGTCAGCCTCCACCCAACATGACCTCTTATTGATCTTCAGGGTTGACGCTCACACTCGATCACATGATCTTCTGCCTCCTCTCTCACATACTTAAGTCTTACCCTTTGACTAAATTGTAGGATCCTTGAAAGCTAGGCAAGGACTCCTTGTCTTCTTTGCTCTTGAGTGGCCCCCATCTCAGGGTAACCCCATGTCCCACAGGGTGAAATGCTGCCCAGCCCAGCACCATCCCTGCAATTGATGGGAGATCAACCGTTGTGATTCCCTAGGGTTTTCTTGGGCGTATTTTCAGAATAGGATCATCACATCTTTCTTCTAAGTCCATCTTAGATGCACTACAAAAGCCAATTCCCCATCCCAGCTACCATTGACTGATGGGTGGTGGCTGTGCTTAAGGTGCATTAGCCAAGAAGGGAACTTGTCTGCAGCGCAGAAGGTGAGAATTCCACCATTGACAACCACTGTGTCAAGGGCATGGCCTAGGTTTTATCATTGAGCATGGTCTTTGGTGCCATATCATGTCCCTTAAGGGATTGTAACTTGGCTGTTGAATTACAACCAGAGGGTCTCCACCTCTTTCTGTATCAGGATCCGGTCACCTTTTCCAGCCATTGTCCACATGGTAGATCTCCGCTCCCCACCCACCTTCCCCAGGGCTTGGGTAAGGGGAGATGGGATGGCTTTGGGATTTGCCACATCCTGGCTGCTCAGTCCCAGCTGTAACACCACTTCAGTGCCTTCTTTGTCGGAGTCATGGAGGGAGGTGAAAAGACCCAGTTGTGCTTTTCTGAAGGCGGCAGGCCCTGAAGCCCAGCAGGACTCCCTCTCTTTCCTGAACCAAACAAAATATTGTTACAGCAAACATGAAATCGTGCCTGTTTTTCACAGATGCTCTGCAGGTTTAACAAAGCTAGCAGCCACACTCCTTGAATCAAAATAAGCATCTGCCCCCTTTCTCTTGATATCCTGCACTTTCCAGGCATTTTTTGGAACAACAGTAACAAAGCTGATTATTTCAATTTTTCGGCACAAAAAAATAGGCATAGGCTTTTAAGGATTGATTTTGAGGGCAAATCCTGGGAGAAGGGCAAAACTCTAACCTTCCTCGCTAGTATTCATTAAACACAGAGGGGCAGAAAATCCAGAAAGCTGATGCGTAACCCTCGGATATTGTACACGAGTATCTAAGATGCCAGCTAGGAACACCTAAATAGTCCATTCAGTCTAAGACCTCCTGTCATCAAGGGAAACCGGAGGTGTGGGGATTTCAGAAGTGGGAGGCTATTTGTACTGGTCTGACTTAAAATAAAAAGAAAAGAAAACTCTCCCAGGGAAGATTGACCTGTAAGGGGCTTTAAAGGCAGTTCATCTTAACTTTTTTGCATCTTAGACTACTTTTCTAATAAAAAGAGAGCCAACTACCCCAGCCCTGGGTCAACGGATGCCTCCATAGACTTGCACCTACAGTCTTTGAATGAGACAGACTGCTGACTGAGAGGCAACCAGAATTAGCTCCAAAGAAAGGCCGAGCAGTGTCCTTAACAAAAGCCGTCCACTGAAGACCCTCTTGAAGCAGCATTTTACTGCAACACGCACGGGTCATCGTGGCCGTGATTCAGAAGTAACTCCACAGAAATTGATTGGACTGTTTTTGTTTTGTTTTCTATAGACTTGAGCGTAATTATATTTAACGTGTTAGGACAGTCATGAACCTGAAATGTCTCCCAAGTTCATGATCCCTAATTGCAGACTTTTTCAATGAATTGGTAATACAGAGGCCAGTAGAAGGTCAGGGAGGGCAGCGAGAGTGAACTAGGAAATCAGACATACGGTAGCAGGACCCCAGGTGAGAAGAAGGTCCAGTTCCTAGCGCAGAGACATCCTGTAGGTCCACACTTAGTCCCACGGCTCTGCTTCTGTGTGTTCCGGATCTAAGCTAGGGTGAGTCCACTGCTGGTTGGACTAGTTACCTTAGGGATACTGTGTGGACACTTTGAGCGCTGTCACTAAGGAAAACTCTCTTTTTCTTTGACAGCTTCTCGCAGCCAGTGACCTTGCAGCCAGTGACCTCAAAGGATTTCAGCCACAGGTAAGTCCCACGGATCCTGTTGTGCATTTTTGAAAAGTGAAAAGGTACCTGGTAGGGCCATGATCAAATGAACTTGGCAACAAGGATAGGGATTTGGAATTCCTGCCTCTAAACTCAACGTACCCTCCACGAGAGCTACCTGGTAGTTGCCCTGCCCCTCCAGTCCTTTCTTCCATCCTATGGAGAACAAGAGAGCCTCTCTCTGCGTTTCCTCCTAATGTGTCCTAGGCAGGGTTTGGGGTCAGGGAATCTAGACCAAGATCCTGGAAACAGTTGGGTAGTGGCTCAGCTGAAGAACCAAATCTTTGGGGTGGGATAGAGGGAGTCCTTTTATCTCCTGCTCTCTGTCTCTCTTGATTTCGGACAAGATGTTCATGTTTCTATAATCTTCGTTTGCAAATGCGCAGCAGCCATGATCTGGTGGCCAAGTGAATCTTACACAACTGTAGGAACTGATGATCTTGGTGAAGAAACAGGCCACCACTATCTCTGGCCAGCTCCTGCTGTGGAGGCTGCAGTGGGGAGGGGACAAACTCAAGAGAGCATGGTGAGGGCAGTGTGCAGAGTTCTTGGCCCTTCATTCCATCTAGGGAAGGGGAGTCACTGTCTACACACAAGCATGAAGAACCCCCGTACCCATTGACACGAACATTCCCTGGACACACAGAAGGCCTGGTCTTCTGCTCGAGACCCCGTGCTGCTTGAGCACGTATATAAAACAACAACCCAGCTGAAAGAACTGTGGCACTTGGGCCCCCCTGTGCCCGCTCTTCATTCTGAGACTTTGCGTTACCTTTCCAACCCCCTTCTCCCAAAGGCAATGCCTGCCTCAGGATCCCAGAATGTGGTTTCTTTGTGGGAAAATCCATCATAGCTGAACTCATGGCAGTGAACTTGGGAGAACAGAGTAAGAACTTTGCAGTAGTTTGACTTCCCTGCCACTGGGGATGGTTAACTCCTTAATTCCAATGTCACCTCCAGGGTCTCTCCGTGCCCGTTTTACGTGTTTCTCAGGTGGGGCATAGCCAGATAGGTGCTGTTCTACTGCTTGGCAAACTGAGGTTCTGGCCCCCGGTGAGAAATGGCCCAGGATTACACCGAGAGCTAGAGAGAAGTGCAATCAGTGGGAAGGGAGGGCCCAAAGGATGAGGGATAACAATGAGAGCACCCCAATGAGATAACAATGTCAGATGTTTTCATGGCAGATTTTTGATCCTTGGTCAGGGGTGCAGGGAGATTTAAAAATTGATAGTAACGCCTATACCAACCACGGCAAACTGGTCATTCATTAGAATCCTTAGGTATTCAAGCACACTTTCGGTTGAGTTAAAGAAATGGAAAACCCAAAGCCAAAGCAAGTCTGAGTTTATCCAGATACCACCCACACCCACCTCCACTTACCACAGCATCACCCCAGCTAGAGACTTTTTTAAATCTGAAAATGTATTGAAAAATGAAGAGAAGAAAGGCTTTTTTTGATCTCTGCCTGGCAGCTTGGAAAGGACTCATGGGGGGGGGGGCTTCCACACTTGGGGTGGATTTCTCTTCTGGTAATTTTCTGGATTGGCATAGTTTCCGTTAGAGGCACTCGTGTCCTCCGCTCTGTGTCTCGTTAGATAAACTTCTAGATGCTAGGTTTGAAATGAACGATGAAGTGCAGGAAAAGCTAGACATTGTTGGGGGGCACCCATCATATTTGAGAGCATGATGGTTGGCACGCCACTTCTGTGTGTCCGCAGACAGCCTCACCGAGTTTCTGGTACCAATGGTGCGCCCCCCCTCACTCCCCCACCTTCCACCCCCCCCAACCCCCGCTGCAGCTGGGTCTTTCCACATTGTTCCATTGGTATGTCATCCCCGCAAGGCTGGAAACATAAAGCATAATTTTTGACTGCAGGATGCCTGTTCCTGAGGCCAGGAAGTCCTGGGAATCTTGTGGCTAGGGTGTAGTGCCCAGATCAAAGTTAATTTTCTGGTCTTATTCCTCAATTAAAAAGGCCCGGATGTGTCTTACGTCCACATGGCCCTTTTGGATGCTTCTCCAAACAGAAACAGAAATCGGCCCACCGGCTCCAGCCGCGCCCTCCGGCTCGGCTCCACCCAGCTCGTGGCTTCTGTTCTTTTCCCTTCTCTCTTTGGCTTTGTGATGGAATGGACGTCTACCAGGATTCAGGGGCCTCTTCCCTTCCAGGAACTGTCACGAGCTTCAGGAAGGGGCTCACTGGGTCTCTAATCAGGCCTGTGGGCTTTCTCGCAGTCCACAGTTACCCCTTGTACGTAGGGGGCATTTTTTTGCCTGCTCCCCTCTTCCTTGAACCTGGTTCTTGTTGCAGCCTCTTAAGGAAATGCGTCCTGGTCTTCTCCCTAATCTTCCATGACTCTCAGCTTCGAAAGCGTGGAGCGCAGTGACCATATTGCCCACCGAGTTGGAATGTTCTCCCTCTTCATCTCTGGCTTCCTTTCTGCATCCAGATAGCGGAGAGGAAGGCAAGGGAGTGATTGTCTGCCTCGTCCCATGGTGATGGGTTTTGAACGACACTCTTCTTTGAAATAAACACCTGCCTTGCAAGCCTGCCGGTACTTTTGAAGGGATGAGATGGCAAAGTGTGGCGGCAGGGCTTTCCAGAGCTCAGCCTCCGCTTGGGACGGAGTAGGACTGTCCCTGGGGTCAGGAATGGGGCTAACAGGGGCTTTCTCCTCAGCACGTGTTAGGGCGCAGGTGGTGAAGGCAGCTGCAATGCACACGGAAGGTCCCCTGACTCTTCTTCTGAAGTCGTCCCACAATTTCACCTCTCATGGCTGCACCCCGCTCTTCTTTCCTGTGGAAAGCAAGTGTCCCGTCTCTCTCATCTTCAGCTGGCCTGAAATAAAGGACTGTCATCTTTCTGTGCCGGGCCATCCTCTCCAAGCCAGCAGGGAGCGAGAACTGCCAGCTCAGGCCTGCTGGTAGGAGCCCTGCAGCCATCTAAGGCTCTTTTCCACTGGGCTTTACATTCTGTCGCTTTCCCTCATTATCAGGCTGTGAGCTTTACTGCAGACATTGGAGAGTACAGAACCACTTGACTTTGCAACTTTCTAGTCTTCGTTCGTTCTACAGCGACATATACATTTGGGGGTTTTTGTTTGTTTGTTTTACATTGGGATCACATTCTGTGTGCTTTTTGGTTCTTTCCGTGTGTTAGATTGCATACTCCTCAGTCACCAAAAAACCCTGTGCAGGAGGGACTCTACACACCAGCTGTGATTCTTCACTACCCCTTGATGGTCCCTCCCTGCCTTTTCCTTTATTTAATCCCTTGTCTGCTGCCGGCCAGTCCAGTCCATTGGCTGGCTGAGTTCTCCAGCAGAAACCAAGACAAGGGCAAGGATCCAGCATCCTCACCCAAAATACAGATAGCCTCCAAGCCTTTGAGGCATTGATAGCTGTTTATTTTCAAGGTCCAACAGGGACAAAAAGCTTCCTTAAACCATGCAATAAAACATCCAAGAGTGAGTGCCCATGGGAATGCGTTGAATCCACTTGAAAAGGCTCAGGCTCAGGGGGATATGGTGGAGAACGAACCATGGCATCCGGCTGGGATGGGGCTGTGGCTTCTGCAGGCTCAGGGCTGCTGGACAAACCACTCTGCCAAGGACCATCCTTCACAGCAGCTAGAACTTTGTAAAGTCCCCGTGGTCTGAAAGGAGGGAGGAGACGCTACCTTAAGGAAAAGTGTACATTTCTTTCAAGTGTGCCCCATGCTAGGATTTTGGGAGAAAGATGTAAGAGCTGTCTTGTGTCAAGTAGTCACCATGCAAGGAGTTTCTACAGTTATAATTGTTATTGTGGCAAACACAACAAACAAAACTTGTTGTTGTTGAGTTAGTTCCTACTTATGGTGACCCAGCGGGCACAAGGTTGTGCAAGGTGAGTTGAGAACAAACCAGGACACACAGGAAGGTTTTCTTCATTGTGGAGAAAGCCGAACCTTTAGTCACGCGGTGGCCGTTTAATTCAAGGAGCATCTATGGGAGGCCTTTGAGTGATTCCCCTTGTTGCCCAAAAGCCCTTGCCCTGACAATTCCAGGATGTCCTGCACGAATAGAAGGTCTGTGCATAAGGGGTGTCGGGAATGAAGTTGGGCTAGGGTCAGAGGGGAGTAGAGTTGAATGAGGTGTGCAACTGAAAGTCTGAGGCTGGAGCTCCTGGACCTGACTGGCTGGGGAAATGGAGGTTCTGCTGAATAAAAGGGCTGCGCAGAGGAAAATGCAGGTTGGAGAGGCAAGGCGCTTATTCGGGCCCCTACTGACCCCGTCGGGCAGAGTAGAAATGCCCACCTAGGGTTTCTGAAGCTATAAATATTTGTGGGAGCAGAAAGCCTCATCTTTCTCCCTCAGAGCGGCTGATGGATTCCAGTTGCTACCCTTTTGATTCATAGTCTAACATGTAACCCACTATGCCACCAAGGCTGTTAATGTTATTCACTACTGCTCCCAGAAGACGACCTACTTAATTGGCTGGTACATGGACTGCATCGCCTGGCTTCAGGAATGAGGGTGATCCCATGACTTCCTATTGCTCAGGCTACCGAAGAGGAAGTATGTGCCGTCACCTTCACGGGTCCCCTCCAGGCTGGACTTAGAGCCGCTGCCTGTCTTACTCTCTTCAGAGTGTGGCCTGCAGACCAGACCTGTCAAGGAGATGCTGCCGGATGCTAATGAGACAAATACAGCAACACAGGTTGTTGGGAAACTTTTAGAGCAATGTGATGTCTCCATGAAGCCCAAGCGTATGATCATCTGCCTGCATTTATTCCTTTATGACATTTTACCCAAATGGCTCTCTACAAATATGGACTGGGGGGAAAAGTGCCAGCTCCTTCCTCCAGGTTCATTGGGGAGGCTCTGTCCCAAGGGTCCCGTGTTTGCATTTCTTGTTTTATTGCAAGTGTAGGATCTGGCTTCTGGCTTCTTGTTCTCCTCTTCATCTGGGAGCTCCGTGAGATGTGTGCATGTGTCAT